TAATGATGTCCTACCTGAAGTTACATCACATCCTACCTGAGGGTACATTGTTGCAATTTTTAGCAGCACAGGTTGAACAGCAGGAGCCTCAGGCTTGTCCATCAGGGCCATCATCTGACTGATCCACAGGAGGTACATCCAACAGGGCACCTCCTCACACTGTCAAAACAATTCCTTACATGTTCATATATTGTTGCCCAACTAATAAATATACATCTATTTAAAACAAGAATGCTGTAATTAGTACATAATATGTTTGCAACAGTTGAAATTTTCTTACTTGTAGAAAGCTATAGTTAGTACATGATAGTAATGTAATGTATCACCATAAAGGAAACATAATTATAAGAGTTTCATGTTTTGAAAATATTTTTATAAATCTTTACTACAGGCCTATGTATGTATGGTTGGACAGATTAGCTGATTTCAGTTTATCTCTTAACCTTATTGTTGATGTATAACAGCCTTGTTACGTTTTGTGAATGTGCGGTTATATATACTACAGTTACAGAACAGAAACATGCCTGTTTACTGACAGACAAAACATAAGGCTATACATGACCTACTGAAGGCAGATCTCCCTAAAGGCTGAACTACTAAAGTTTTCCTAAATAAAATAAGTAATGGAAGTCCATGTTTAATAACTGATTTGGTGCCCGTGTGTGCAGGTTTGGGAAAGTTAACAGCCTGCTCCAACACACTACATATGATCCTAAAATGTGACTGATGTTGGCTCTCCTGCAGAATCAGGTTATTTTAATTTGGAGTCCACCGTTAAGGGGATACTGAAGAAACCAAAAAATGATCTGCTGCCTCCATTTTAACACTTGGGGTCCTTTTTTTCTCCCCTGCCTTCTCTTTCTTTCATTTTGTGTATCTCTCTAGGCATTTGTCTTCCTATTATCTTAACTGATGCAAGGATGTAAACTCAAAACATACACACAATCAAACAGACAGACCTTGTCTACAAATGTGCCCATACAGTCGGGGTAATGCTCCACCAGCTGAAGAAGACGAGGAAACCTCTGTTTGGCCTCCATAGAGTCAAATCGCATGGCGTTGAGCAGACACACGACCACAGTATCCGGGAATGTCTTGATTGTAGCCTTACTCAGCTCCAGTTCATCTGAGAAATCAGATACAATATAACAATATGCATGAGATTTAAAATATATTCAGAACATTTTCCAGAAATCATAGAGAAAAAGAATTCAAGATTCAAGTGACTTCACAGGAGACATGGCACCTTTACAAATACAACAGGAGTTGAACTTTTACAACTATAGTAGTATAAATCTGATTAAAAAACTAAGCAGCAATGCACCGTAAAAACTTGCTTTCAGATGAACACACATCCCAATAACAGTATACTCCCCTATAACGTACCATCCTCCACCATCCTAAGGATCCTGTCACAGAACTTGGCGACTGCCATGAACGCCATATCTCTGGTATAGCCAGTCTGTGGGGAATTCCTGCCGTCTTCGTAGTGTAGCGACTTCTTCATGTTCTCAAAGCCTCGCTTAACAAGACTCTCTATCAGCTACAAAATTACAAAACAGCAATTTCAAACAGACTCTTTACAAACATTTTAAAAGCTAAAACACCCTTAACCATCATTAACATAAAACATGCCCTAAACAGCAATTTACAGAACAAAAACATTCTCAACCGTCATTTACATACCAAAAACAGGTTCTAACCAGCAATTAACAGAACAAAACCAGATTTGACATTTTCAGAACAGAAACATGTCCTGAACAGTCAATTACAGAACAGAAAGCAGGTCCTGAACAGTTAATTACAGAACAGAAACAGGTTTTGAACATGTACAGTCAATTACAGAACAGAAACAGGTCCTGAACAT